ACTTCCAGAGTAGCTTCTTGCTCTCAGGTGGCTACCAACCTTCTTCTACTCGCTTAACATCAAAATCTCCCTTGTTTTCAATGGTGCCCTTAGGCTTGAATTTTCCCCACACTCTGTATCAAATAAAATCAGTTCCTTTATGGAGATCTTTGGAGATCTCTGCTCTTACAGCCTGACTCAACCTTTGGGCAAAATCTCTTAGTCACTATTCTGTTTCTGGGAATGGGGACAGTGGCCTGCTTCTCTCCAAGTGGCACACTTGGTTTAAAAGTGAGGTGAGAGATGAGGGTGGTAGCCTTTGATCTTTTCCCTTTACCTCTTCTCGTATGGAACCTCTTTCTTACAAGCAAGCTGGGGAAAGGGTGATGGAGGCCTGAGTATTCTTGGCCTTCTGTGCCTGAGGTAGTGCCTGTATGACTTGGGGCTAAATGAAGGAAGGGATTCCCCCAACCTCTTGGCCTCACTCAACTGGAATTTAACCTCTGCAACATGGAGCTGAAAGCAGGGATGATAGACGACGGTGGTCTGCCCCTCGTGGGAGGATGTCATAACCCTTGTCTGGGAACTGCAGGGAAAGGAAGCATGTCTTCCAGGCTACACCTGACCAGAGTAGAGCTTCTGTCATGCTGAGCTGGGGCAGGGGGAGAGGGTGGGTTGTGGTTTAGGTGCCACATACTCTCACTGTTCTTACTGAAATTTGCTAGATTTTCTTATAGAAATGTTTCTTCTTTTCCTGTATGCCCTTAGACCAATTTTCAGAGACTATTTTTTAAAAAATGATTTTCATCAGTTATGCTTTTTTTTAATGGAGAGGGTGTCTCTGGAGTTCCTCATGACAATATTCTTGAAATTATCTCTCTTGCTTCTCAGTTTTTTTAATAATAGTAATTGCTAACATTTGTTTATTGAGGGTTTACTGTGACTTGGTATATGATTATTTCTGTCAAAAGCTATATATTCTTGAATAGCCCAAGGACATTAAATGCTTGGAAAAATATATTCCCTTGACATGCTGGGCTTGTTTGAAAAATAGTAATGACTACATATTTTTTTAAGTAAATCCCTTTTATGAGAAACACATATTAAATTAAGTCACGTTCAGTCAGAGCAGCTGAGTGCAGTTATTTCACACGTGAGTTGGGATCTTCTGTTGAAGTTTTTCAAAGTACGGTTCTGAGACCACTTGGCATCAGAATCACTGAGATGCTTTTTTAAAAAGCAAACCCTTGACCTCCACTCCAGGTAAGTTCTCAGGCAGATAGAGTCTTGGAGGTATTTGATTGATACTGTGGACTAAATGAGTTTAGTGCAAGCTTGGCTAATGCAGACTTCAACTAAACATTTATTGAATAATAACTGTGGAAGCCACGTGCTAGGCAATAGTGGTACAAAAAGCATAAAACCTGCTCATCCAAACCCTGAAGGAGTGTACACAACTTGTGAGAAGATTAATCTGGTGGAAGGAGAGACTATTCTACAGTAACTTGATACATACAATAGGTTACATTAATTTTGTGATAATTACATTCATGTGGAATTTGGGCAAGGTACATTCCCACACATAACAGCCTACACATGCACACACAATATGTGCCTTTATTAAAAGAAATAGCTGGACCAGGGGAAAGAGCAACCTAGAAAATACTTTTGTGACCTACTTTCCATGTTGGCAGATCCTGTGTTGATGATTCCTCCTCCTCTCTCTACCTACTGCAGACTTTCTACTGACGAAATGAACAGTAATTGAATATAGATACAGATAGAATACAATTTCTGTTTGAACACGTTCAGTGGCTGGAGTTCCTTAGGTAACTATTTAGTAAACTTAATTTTCATTCTTTAATACATATGACATGAATGCTTACTGCAAGCCAAGGTGCAAGGAATTCTGGTTTTTTCTTCTTCCCTAATTATAGATTTATTTTCCTGAAAGATTATTTTATTCATGTTGTCTTCACTTGATTGTGTGTAATTTCAATTCAGTTATTGACTAACTAGGCTAGGAGGGAGGAAACAGATAACTGAAAATAGTAGCAAAATGTGATAGATTTAGTGTATACTTATTTAAAATTACATCTGATTTCTGGCAACTGTTTTACTGTTCTAAGGACATCACCCATAATATAGCTGGTGTAAACTTATTATGGAAGTGATATATGACATATAGGCACACTTTCACTATTCTGTGGACATCATCTAGAAGTACACAGAATGATATGGGAACAGCCATTTGAAGGCATAAACCTAATCCCTTCTGAGTTATAAAAAGAGGAGAATAGAGAAAAAGACACACAGGGGGGAGGACGCCATATAAAGACAGACACACACGACACTTGTGAGATTTGAAGCCATCAGCATGACATTCATTGCTTGATGTAGAAAGGGCCATGACTATTTGTTAAACGGTACTTTATTTATTTATTCCTTTTTGTAGCTGAGCGTTTATTTTATCCAAGTATTAGGACAGGACCTGAGCTGGGCATATTTGCAGCCCCAGCTTCCTATTCCCTGTTCCTTCTGCCCTCACTGATTCCCCATCCCCCTTCCTAGTTCTCACCCAGGAGCCAGGAGTCCACAGCTGTTCACATCCCCCCTTCACCTGCACGTGCAGCTGGCCATGGCCTCACTCTTAGGAGCTGCTGCAGGTAGAGGAAGAGACGCTTTCCTGGGGGTCACTGTAGACCCAGCATGGCACCTTTTGGCTCTATGTATATTTCCACACAATAGATTGTTTCTAATATTTAGATTTTTCATTGCTTTATAGACATTGAATTTTTTACAAGTGGGCCATTTAAAAAAGATCTGTAACCTAGGTAATCTTCCACTAGATAATAAAGAATTGACTAATTACAAAATAAGAACACTGCTGAGTGATATGTATATAGGCACCCACAGTAAATATGATTGCAGGAAAAAGTTGTTAAATGGCTTGCCTAGGACGGTTGTAGGAGCCCTGGTGGCACAACGGTTAAGCACTCAGCTGCTGACTGAAAGGTTGGCAGTTCAAACCTATCCAGCAGCTCCACAGGAGAAAACTCTGATGATCTCCTCCCGTGAAGATTACAGCTTAGAAAACCCTACGGGGCAGCTCTACTGTGGCCTGTAGTGTCGCTTTGAGTCAGAATTGACTTGATGGCACCTAACAACAACACCCGCAGGACAACTATACGGAATATTTGGAAGCTCATTCATCTTTGGTTTTCAATTTCGTATCAAAGAGCTTTTGTGTGTTGACAAAATTCAGGTTGTATTTTGTGGGGAGAGATGTTTCATACTGTTGTAATGATCATCACAGTGGTTATTAATGGAGCCCAGCTCGGGCTTGGGGCATGGTGGTGCTGAGATGATGAATTTATGATGTGATGTTATATTGCTTCGAAACAAGCTGGCTTTGCCCATATATGTAAACTAATTTTGAAGTTTGGGCTAACATGAAAACAGATAATGGGAAAAAGAGTACCTAATGATCTTATAACCTAATGCCGCCATGATAAATAAAAAATTCCATAATTAAGTAGCTTTTAAAGAACAGAAAATTATTTCTCTCCATTTAGGAGGCTAGAAGTTCAAATCTTGGGCATGGCTTTAGGGGGAAGTCTTTCTTTGTCTATTTTAGCTTCCAGTAGCTGCCAGCAATCTTTGGGGTTCTGGGGCTTGTGGATGTATCTGTCACATGTGTCTGTCTTTATGTGGCATCTTCCTCGGGTGTGTGTCTCTCTTTCTCTTTTATTCTTTTTGTAACTTTGAAGGGATTAGGTTCAGGACCCATCCTACTCTGATACAACCTCTTTAACGAAACAAAAGAATCCGTGCTTCTAAACAGGGTCACATTTACAGGTACAGGGGTTAGGATTTCAACACATTATTTTAGGATACAATTCAATCCGTAAGAGAAACGTTTATTTGTGCACTAGGTACGTATCAAGTTATGAGTCACACACAACACGATTTGCACCAAATCTGTGAGGGCAGTTTTCTCCTCTCCTTTCTTTACACAGAAGTAACTGTGGTTCCAAGTGTTAAATCAAGTGCCCAAGAGTCTGTGCACTTTCCACCTCATCCCTGGAACCAACAAAAAGTTATTAAGATGATTTTGTACTTGCTTCTGTAGGACTTATTGCCAGTTGCCATTGAGTCAGCTCCGACTCATGGCAGCCCCACGTGTGTCAGAATAGAGCTGTGCTCCATAGGGTTTTCAGTGGTTGATTTTTCGGAAGTAGATTGCCAGGCATTTCTTCCCAGGTTCCTCTAGCTGTACTCCAACCTCCAACCTTTTGGTTAGCGGCCAAGCGCATTAAACTGTTCGCATCACCCAGGGGTTCCAAGACTTCCTGCATACTGGTTATAATCATTAATGACTATTTTCCCCAAGGGTCTTTTGCCCATTGTATGTCAGATTTTAAGGTGTATCTCAATTTCAGAAGTCCAAGGTAACTTGCAATGAGTGTTCTCTTTCCATTCAGCTTCTTAAGCGCTTTGTACCTTTCTGTATGGCCTTCTGATAGGCTTATTGGTATGTCTTTGTCTCATCAGGCTCGCCTGTGCACTTCTCAAGTGCAGGAACTGCCTCTTCTCTGAATTCTCTGAAAGACCTGGCCCACGATGAGGGGCCTTTCTGATAAAGATTTGTTTTTGTGAATGTGTTGAATCAAGCCCCGCAAGATTAATTTTGATCTGTTTATAGTAGAATTAAAGAAAGTTAGTGGTGCAAATGGTTAAGCGCTTGACTGCTAACTGAAAGGTTGGAGGTTCCAGTCCATCCAGATGTGCCTCGGAAGAAAGGCCTGGTGATCTGCTTCCAAAAGGTCACACCCTTGAAAACTCTATGGGGCAGGTCTACTTTGTAACACAGGGGGTCACCATGAGTCAGAGTCTACTGGGGGCCCCTAATAACAACAGTAACATGAAAGAATTGAGTTAGTATTCACAATATGTGGCATTGTCTCTGCTGCCCATCAACTGAGAGTAATTCTTTTTTGGTTTGTTTGGATTCATTTTAGCAGATTTAAAGAAAATCTCCAGTTCCAGTGCTGCAAAATCTAGTCTCCCCAAATCGGGACTTCGCCCTCCTGGCTACTCGCGGCTCCCGGCTGCCAAGCTGGCCGCCTTTGGCTTCGTCCGCAGCACCAGCGTGTCCTCAGTCTCCAGCACCCAGTCTGCGGACAGCACCCAGACCGAGCCCGGCAGGACCAACCGTAAGTGGGTGGGGTGAGGATAAATCCACAAGACGGTTTAATTGTGCTTCATTTTCTTTGCATGGTAAGCTGAGAATTTGGACAGACTACCTTAATCTACCCTCGTTGGAAGTTTGAAAAAACATCTGTTGAAGAAAAATTCCGATTTGGCACTTTTTCTTATTGTGGGGAGTTCATGTGCCAGAGGAATATTTTTAAAGTGACTCTTAGCATCTAAAACATTACTTATCCAGGTACTGATTCCAGGAGCCCTTATGCTTCTTGGGTTCTAGGTAAGAAGTCAAAGAATGATCTAAAAAAGGCATTACTACATGGAGCTACCAGGGACCATACTAGATGTGAATTATTAGCTGATAGAATCCATTTTCATCACATGGAATTACCTGTAATGAGTTACCTGTAATGCCTTCAAATTAGTGAAGCGCTTGACTGGATTTCTAAAAGCTAACTAAACGATGTAAAAAACAAACAAGCACAGCTGAGCTTCTAGTCTGTGCCCAGAAAGCCCACATTAGCTGAGAGGATGTCACTCCACGCTTGTTTGCTGGGACTGGTGGGCTGGGGGCTGTATTCTAAGATATGGATTAAGAGCCTTTAAGGCAAGTCACAGCAGCCCCTGCCCCACTCTTCTGAGCCTTCGATGACCAGATCCCATCCCAGCTGTGTCGACTTCAAAGTCATTGTTATTAGAGCTGAAGCCGTGGATTCTCAGATGATGTTAGCAAGAACATGTCATGGGGCCAGGGTGGTGCAGAGCTGTGTTGAAGGGATTATAGAAGTAGAATCAAGTTGGAGTAAAGAGAAAGAGAGACTGTGTTTTATTTATTTTTAAATTTCCTTTCTCCATCGCCATTGAGTCGATTCCAACTCACAGTGACCCTGTAGGACAGAGTAGAATTGCCCCATAGGATTTCCAAGGCTGTAATCTTTAAAGAAGCAGACTGCCACATCTTTCTCCCACAGAGCGGCTGGTGGGTTCGAACTGCCAACCTTTCGGTTAGCAGCTGACCACTTAACCACTGCACCACCAGGGCTCCTATCTCTTGGGTTTACAGAGATGTAAACCTTTACAGTTCCAAATTCTAATCTACCTTGTTATTCATAAAAGCAATGCAGTACGTCTTCCTTTATCATGTGTTTGTAAGTGGGCTCTAAGAGCTTACTTGCTCTTTGGGTCTCCTGAAGGTGCTATGGAAGCTATTTTCACTCAAGGATTCATTTTAGGAGTACCACTGTACTGTAATTACAGATTATATCGTTGCATAGTAGATACGTCAAAATCTGAAACATGAATATAATAAAGAATTATTTGCAGAAGTATAGTTCATACTTCTAGATATTTATGTGCGTACAGGAGTCCTGGTGGCACGGTGATTAAGAGCTATGGCTGCTGAACAAAAGGTTGGCAGTTCAAATCCACCAGCTGCTCTTGGAAACCGTATGGGGCAGTTCTACTTTGTTCTATAGGGTCGCTACGAGTCAGAATTGACTCGACAGGCAATGGGTTTGGTTTGGTTTATGTGCATATAAGAAGTCTGAAGATTTTGAAATACAGGAGTGCCTATACGCCATCATTCTAGTAGTAAAATCCCCAATGATATGTTTCTCTTTTAGAGAGAACATGAAAGAAAAATGTCCAATGGTATATATTCTTTCAGGGAAGGAGTTAAGGTTTTGAGTTCTTAAGAATTAATTAATGTCAAGGTGAGTTGAGCCCCGTCCCCATTCCAGCAGCGTTTGCTAAAGCAGAGCTGACAGGTGTGGAAGGAATAATTCCAGGTGTGCTTAGGGCATTTCTGCCCACCTCTGCTCCAGAGGATGCTTATAGGGAGGGACCCCTAGGCACCCAGGGGACACCAGAGCTGTTATGTGCCAGAGAAAGGAACTTCTAGTTTAAACACTTCCTTTTAAAAAGTGGTGTTTTCTTTTATATTTTTAAAAACACAGTATTTTAGGATTGTTGTGTAATTACCTGCCACCTACTACAGTGAAACCTGTGAGAGCCACAACTCGACGGAACTGCCTTATTTTTTTGGATCTCGTGAGTTTTCCACCTTCGACGGTGCAGTCTTACGCTTTTCTGTCGCTCATTTTAGTGGAAAATATTTGAGTTTCTTTCTCAACAGGTTTCTGCCTTACACAGATTCCAGCTTTCCTGGGTGTTACTGTATATGTAAAATGTGTACCTTGTGAATAAACCGTTTGGTCTCACATAGGTGATTTTTTTTTAAAGGAGCACAGTATTTATGGGTGATATTCATTATTTTTTTAACCAATCTGCTATTCAGCTACAAGGCGACCTCAGGGGTTTTGGTTCAAGGTTTGAAGCATTTGGGGCACTTTAAAGTGATTCGGTGTGAACCTGTTTGTGTTTATTGGGCTAGCCTGGTTTAGCTGCGTCTCTTCCTAGGCTGTTTTCCTGGGTCCGAGGAGCAAGTGGTGGTGAGTGTGGACTGGTCGCTCCGTGCAGACTTGGATGTGAGGTGGCAGGGCCACTCGGGTCCCAGCTGTTCCGTGTGGCATTTGTCCTCCACACTGGCTCTGGCCCCCGTGCCATTAGATGAGCCCCACTGGGCAGAGGTTTGTCTTGGCTTCTAAGTCAGGTGCCCTGCTGTGTCTTGTACCTATAGGTTTTTGCAAATGGAGTATGTTCGTGGGTCTTCAGAACTTGACGTGTTTTACCATCCCATTCACCTCCCCCCACACCCCCGCCATATTGCAGATGAGCAAACTAGATCAGAAGTACTTGCTGCAAGTCCTGGGCCAGTGAAATTCCTCTGGATTTAGTTCTTAAGTTGCCATATATGGTGAAGACATACCTGTGGTTTAAATGTCTTTCCTTTCTATCAGTGAAGCAAGTCTCAGCGTCAGGGCTGTCTTGAGAGACCCTCAGGCCAGGCCCACCTCTGCTGCCTTCCCCAGTGTCAAACAGGCCCGCAGGGACACTTTAAGTGACAGGCAGCATTTCATTTCATGGAGAAGCAGCTCTGTGGCTGGGCAGCTGTCATCGTGAGGAAGTGCTGCTCAGGAATTCAGCTGCCTCCTTGTAACTTCTTCCTAAGAGTCACGGTCCCGCTGGAGTAAGTAGATAGAGAGCTGCTGTTGAGTCGACCTCATGTACATGCTATTGAGGCGACCCTGTGTACAGCAGAACAAAACACTGCCTGGTCTACATCACCCTCAAGATCTCTGGCACGTTCAAGTCCATCATTGCAGCTACAGTGCCAATCCATCTCACTGAGGGTCTTTCTCGTCCTCGCTGGCCCTCTACTTAACCAAACATGATGTCTTCCTCCAGAGGTTGATCCCTCCTGATGACATGTTCAAAGCAAGAGAGTTAGGCAATGTTCTGTTGTGATCCAAAAGATTTTCCTTGGCTAATTTTTGAAGTAGATTGCCTGGCCTTTGTTCCTAGTCTGACAATCCAGAAGATCCACTGAAACCTGTCCACCATGGGCGACCCTACTGGTATTTGAAATACTGGTGGCATAGCTCCCAGCATCACGCAGGCCACCACACACTGACAAACCTATCTTCTTCATTCTTTCCATGCAGCGGCCCTCGAGCTGTGGTCATAGCTGCCTCTGCTCCTTTACACATTCATCATGTGAAGAAGATGAAGTCGGCCCATTTAACCCCAAATAGTATTTCAAATTATCTAGTTAGTGATCCACGCCTTTTTAGATTTAAATTGATGGGGAAAAAAGTAAATTTTCTAAATTTCAAATGATAGTGTTTGAGCACCTAGTGTTCAGGTCTGACTCAATGTGTAGTTCGTAATTCTTTTCCAGTTTTAACAGAAGGAAAGATAATCCCCAATTATGGTGATGGAAAGTAAAGGAAAAAAAATGACTATAGCATTTAGTGTTGCTAATGTACTGTAGCCTAAGTGTACCTGGTTGTCAGGTTAGTCAGCGATGAGGTATGGACTTGATTTTCCCAGTGGATAGGTAGGTGTCATTTAAAACCTTTGGGAGTCTGTATCGGGGGGGGAAAAGAAAGACTTAGGGTTTTGTAAGTTAATCATGAATGAAAATAGATCCTTATCATCCAAGGATGGGACAATTTTTGTGGAGAATCATATCTCATTGTATATTCTGAATAACAGAGCCCTGGTGCTGTAGTGGTTAAGCACTCTGCTGCTAACCAAAAGGTTGGTGGTTCGAATCCCCAGCCACTCCTTGGAAACCCTATTATTGGGTGCTCATGAAACAGAAAATACCTATCAGAAAATAGCCTGAAGAAGATGGCACTTGTAAATATCCTTTCCATTTCTCCTTCTCATCCTCTCTTCTCAACCTCTGTCATTTTCTCTGTGGGCTGAACTGCGACCAGAAATCACGAGGCAGAGATTTTCAAAACAGAAGTAAAAAAGATAAATTAGGTTTTTCTCTTGTTCCTTTTCCTGGTACAGGGAAATGGTACATGATGGGGGAAGTAGGAATACAATTGAGGAGGTAGGGAAAAGTAAGACATTTGTATAACTAATAGTGATGGAGGATATATGTGTTCAGAGCCTTGAACACGGTACAAATTGTATAGAAGTGCCCATGTTAGAGGTAAGGGTTAGATTCTGATGAGAGCGATCGGGGAGTTTCTCAGAGGGGTCTGTACACATGGGCAGGACTTTGAGATTTGGACATGGACTCTAGGAGATCTTTTCAGGGGAGCTGTTGGTATATCAAAAAAAAAAACTTGTGAACTAAGGAGCTGCCGTTTCTGGTCCCACCTGCGAGTTCATCATGGCTTTGCCTGCCTTCACTGTACCGAGGCCTAAGTGTTCAAGTTCCTCAAGGCCTTGTTCACAGAATGCGTCCATTTCAACTGCCTCTTCTCTTTGGTCGTCTCATCCACAGTTTCTGCTGTTAGCACTTTGGGCACCATAGGGCAGCCGTATCTCCAGCCCCAGCCTCTCTCTGTAACTGGTTGTTATTGTTGGGTGCTGTCCAGTTGATTCTGACTCATAGTGAACCGATATGACAGAGTAAATCTGCCCTGTA